CAATCTATATAGGTAAAATATCGCTAACAATGATCTATAAACGCACCGATACAGTTCTTAAATATAGAGCCAAGGCAACAGCCTCTCCATGGATTGCCTAGAGGTCTAGCGTGCAACATCGGCGAGTAGGAGTAGCGTACCTGAGGTTTTTTGGGCAGGTTCGAGTCTCGTTTGTAGCCAAATTAAATTTTTTTCTTACTATAATTATTCCTGCAATTACCAGCCGATGCAATTTCTATATAGGTTTTTGCTGCCTTCAAGCTTATTAAAATTATTGCAATGAATCAGGCCTAAGTATGTCTTTTTTTCGTCTTCCGCGCAGCAGAACTCTCTCCCAGTGAGTAATGCATCCCGTTCTTCATACAGACTTATGATAAGTGGATTATTTATTTATTTTATGTAAAATGAAATAAGCGCAATTCTACTGTTTTGTATGAGTTCACTGACAAATGACCAGGTTTGCTTTGAAAGCATTTAGCTTTAAAGCGTTTGAACGCAGATTTCTTATTATGATTGCTATCATGACGCTGTGAGTAATGCCAGTTGAGGCTTTCAGACAATCTTGGACAAAATAAAATGGAACAGCAAACCCCCATCCCCCCAAATCAAGGATGAAGGCGCGCGAAGGGCAAAAACGCGCCATTTTCCCATCCTTGATTTGGGGGGGAGGGGGGGTCTAGGTTTTCCATTTATTTTGTCCAAGATTGTAGATGATGGGGATAAATCCTCCCTTGTAAAATCCAGTCCACCTTTCCCTGTGGCTTTTTGGCCCTTAAGTAACGCGCATTACAAAGGGTCACATATTTCGCACATTATCCAATCAGTAAACCACAAACTCAGACGGGAAGTTCTTCAATTCATTTTCTTTATTCATTTAGAAAGGTCAGAGCAATGGCGCAATTCAAATGGTACGACATCTTCGTGGATCTTTTTGGAACCATTCTTAGCTTTGCAGACCCCATCACCGATATTCTTACACTGGTGGAATTCTACCGCGCAGATCACAAGACGTGGTTCGTTGTAGGGCTCTGTTTCATCATTTTGCCATTAGTTTTTTTTTCAGTCATTAATTTTTCACAGCAGAGCCGGTGTGGCCGGTGCATTACATGCATATTTGGTTGCAGTCCATTTTTTCCCGCTTTTATGAAACTGAGAACGCTTTTTGTTCACCTGAAGAAGTTACCAAACCTATGGCGAGGCAATCAAATCGAACCGACTGACATTAATGAAAATCCACTGACTAATCTGGATAACCTACTGGACATAAGCGCGTTTGCTGTTCTGGCCGAGGCCGCTTTTGAATCAGCTCCACAGTTTATTATTCAGTTGTACGCCATGGCTGTTCAACAGGAATCCGTGACGATCGTTCAAATGGCTTCCCTACCTGTGTCATTCCTCAGCTTAGCTTCGGCGTCTACTGTTGCTGACAGAACTAAGTTACTTCAACGTGATGGTAGAGACCTGAATCTCAGTGTGAAAGATAAAGTTCTACTTTTTGTAACGCACTTATTTATTTTAAGCAGTCGACTTTTTGCAGTTGCTTTGTTCACTGTAAGCTACAAGTGGTGGGTTATAAGTGTTTTGATCCTTCACTGTACGGTGATAATGATATGTGAGATCATTTGGAGCTGTTGGACTTCCGAAATAGGAGACTGTAACGTATATGGATTACTGTTACTTTGTTTTACTTTCTGCTTCCTTTGGCTACGAGATGATTGGTCACCTTCAAGACTTGGCGGAAGGAGCAGAGCGAAACAGCTAAGAGGACTGACGCTCTCGAACGTGCTGTTTGTGATAGAAAACATTACCATGATCCTGTTGTTTTATTTCAGTCATTTCCCTCACACCTGGTTCTCCTTACCAGTCACCATCTGTGTCTGTTTATTTGCTGTTCTTGGAGCCGTAATGAGACTTACTCACTTCTGTTTCTCAAACAAAGAATCGGACAACGATGTTTAAACGGGAAAACAATAAAAACAAGCAACTCATGATAGAGTAGCAGCCATCTCGGGCATTCAAAAACTGACAAAGATACGAAAGATACGTTTCACCTTTGATGAATTGTCTTGAATACGATGAGTACTACGATGTATGCCTTTTTGTGATGAGACAAGATGTCAAAACTAAAAATCTATACTTGCGCGCCAAAGCCTCTCGGTACTGCAGTCGTCATCAACTTTCTGTAATTGGCTCCTAATACAACTGTTGGTAAAGCTGTTATCAGGAGTGGTCTGTGCTCTACTGCGGAAAGGGACAAATACTGGTCGTACTTGTATTTCTAGACGTCTAACTATTCTTTTTGCTTTAAAGGATCACTAATATTGCAGTTTGAGCGAGAATTCAGCCATGAGGATTTATCACGGTTCGTACTTTTCTGAATTTTCTAGCGGACATATTTCTAACTTATCAGAAACTCGGATGAGTATTTTAATACTCTTTAAAAAGACTTTAAGATGCCATGACGGCGGAGACAACGAGAACTTCAATAAAGCAATAGGTTGAATAGTCAAAACAACAACTCTGCACTTCTTTTTTGTACATTTCTTTGCCGTCACTGCACGGCTACGACGTGAAAATACCTAATTCCACGTTTTATGGAGGACGTAAAGAAGCGACGGCTAAATTTTCTTTCCGTTTCTGAACTTGAATATGGTTGTAATGAATTCGGCTCAAAAAGAGTTCGCTTGCATTTGACAAAGTAAATGAGTTGGAGTAATCGGTATAGAGATTGAAAGAACGCAAATTCACTTAGTTTTAAGCGACGTTTTCGCGGCGTTCGCCGTCGTGATATCTTAAACTCCCTCTTCTCAGGGGCACCCAACGAGAATATAGTTCAAAACCACTTATAATTAAACATAGCATTGTTAAATGTATTTTAGTATTTTAACGGTAGATATAGGCATATTTTTATCCCCTAAAAATTTTTTATCTGTTCGGATTTCCTAGCTGAAAGTCTAGTGATCCGAAAATTATGGGGATCAAAACTTACCTTTCCGACAATTCCAGCCAGAAAAAAGGCTCCCGAAAATTCTAGGTGACCTTTTTAGGGTAAAAATCCGTTAAAAATAGGCAATTATCCCATTTTTTAGATGTTCGAAAATCCTAGGAGAGGCAGGCAGGCACGAAATTTTACAACAAATGCTCCGAAAATTCTAGATCTCAAATCGTCTTCCGAACAGATATTTTCCGAAAATTGTCGTTGGGTGCCCCTGTCTTCTGAGTTTTACCACATCACTTAAGAAGCCCAAGGTTGCTGTTCAGATTTGTATTTCGTGCGGCATAGCTGTTATACGAATACCTTTTATTCCAAGCTAATCAATCATCAGTCCCTCTTGAGCTGAGCTAGCTTGTTGCGCTGCTTTTTGAGATACTCATTAGCTTTTGTAAAAGTCCAGTCTAAACAATCGCTTGGAATTGGGAAACCTAACAATGTACTGTTTCTATTTTATAGGATCACACATTTCACAAGTGATCCAATCGTTACAGCGCATTAGCTAACTCAGACGTGAGGTCCTTCAGAGTTTTAAGCCATTCAGAAAGGTCGAAGCAATGGCCAAAATGGAGCTCGAATTTATCTTTTTGGAACATAGTATCAGTTTTCTTAGCTTTTTTTGGAACCACATCACGGATATTCAGTTTCACACTACGATAGTGCCGATAACAATTTAAAATGTTTCCTCCAGCCGTCACTACACGTAGTGGACAATTGTTAGAGTTATCTATAAAGAGTGATGAAATTCTGAAATTTGCAATTTGTAGTCATTCTTTTCCTTGTCGTCCCTTTGCTGTGTTTTCAGACACCTCTTTGCGACTTTTTCTATGCGTAAGGACAGGATCAAAGAGTGCTTCACATGCTGACTATATCATGACTTGTGAAAATGAAATCTTATTATCCGTGAACCGTGACTAGTCATTTTCGTGGTCCGTGAACCGTACCCGTGGATCCCCCCTCAACCCTTTAAATCCTAATATCAAAATTGAGATTGTCATTTATTGCCCCTATACTTTTTCAATAGAAGAAGTAGAGAGAATTTGTTGAAATATCAACTAGAGTCATCTTCCCTGATCATGTACTCAATTGTCATGACCATCTGTTTTCTAAAGCATTGATATTATAAGGAGAAATTTCATGCTGATCACCCTTAGTGCTTAAAGGCTTAAGTTTGAAAGAAACCATGCTTGATAAAATGTAAAAAAAAAAATGATCAAGCGAACTCTATCATATGATGCTCCGTGCAGAAGAATTCCATTATTCCTGTGCTCTATCCGTAGGATCGTCCGAGTCTGAATTATTGACATTCATAGCTAGAAAAAAATTAAGCAACAAGTTACGGTTTAGGTATCAATCAGGTAGAATCAGCCAGATTCTTAGGAGTTCATATAGACGTAAATATTAAGTCGTTTTTGTAGAAGCAAAACTTTCTGGTATACCTTGTCGAGCAAGGCATTATCTACCTCGCGTTGTTATGCGGGGTCTATATTACGCATTTATCTCTCCCTACTAAGTTATGGTAACATTGTATGGGGAAATACGTACACAACAAGACAAGAAACAAAAAGAAGGCTACAAAAAAAATTACGGTATAAGGATCATTACTTTTTTAAATTAAAGAAAAACATACTGGTCCTATCTTCAAACAACTATCGATTTTACCTTAAGATGATATAGACAATGGAGCCATTGCTTTTTTTGCCCATGTTTCGATACTTCAATAACAATATACCATCATCTTTGCCATGATTTGTTTTGTTTGAATAAAGATGTTCATCAATACAACACAAGATCGCGTTCTAATGTTCACGAATATCAAGCAAGAACTAACTATCAATTAAGACATTCGATTTATTCAGGAAAAAAATTAACACTGATTTTCTCCACAAGCAAGAAAATTAGAATTTCAGTATACAAACGTATTTACATAAATGATTAATCTTAGTCACTTCTCCTCGTAACACAGCCATATCCTTTTTATATTCTTAAAATAAATCATTGCAGTAAACTTGTTCAGGGGCTCCCCTCGTAAAGCCCAGGTATAATATTATCTTTTAAATATTATTCTGCATGTAATAAGCATATGAAAGGGCGAATAAATGAAATGAAATGAATCTGTGTCGCACTCTTCCTCATCCTCTTCAACCTCTGCTTTATCTACTGCTTACCTCTGAATGTGTTAGCTATGTGTTCGCACTATCCTCGCGTGACATAGAAGTCATTGCTCTTGTAGCTGAAGGAACAGACTGCTTATCGACTGCAGATGGGCTGAACGAGTCAGGGTCTCCAAAGTCGGTCTCCAATGTAAACATTGTTTAGTCTCTTGCCTCACACTCGGGACTCTGTCGCACAGCTTTTCCATTGCTTGATGCCCAATCAATCTTGAGTTTTGTTTTCTGTCTGTTAAGCTGCCTAATTACCTTAAGATGTTCCAGTCTCTGGAAAACGCTTCATTACCGTCTTTTTTTTCTCCAGACGAAAGAATTTGAGCTCAAAACTTCGGCCAAGGCCACGTTTCTTAGCCTCTGCCTTTTATCCCACAAATCCTTCGAGTTTCCTAAAGATTACCTGGGAGGAGTGTTCGCTAGTAAAAGAAAAAACGAGTTCTGTCCGGCTTTCCAAGTAAAGGCATTGAACCCACTGAATTTAAGTCAACGTAAAATATTACGCATTCAGTTGGAAATATATCTGATTACCCGTTTACCCTGCCATGTTAATTAACAATGACAATGATCTCCAATTTGCACGATCAATTACTCAGCGGACTTGAAGAGTCTTCCAATATTTACGAAGTATCCAAGAAGAATAGTGAGGTCCATGTAAGAGTTATGCAAGATAGGTGTACGTTATTCTTACGACACTTGTCTTATTTGCTAATTCATGGTCTTTTGGAGGTCGGGAAACTGAAATCAGGAGAAAAATCGACGTAATGAAATGACGATTATCGATTCTCAATTTGAATAAGGAATAATTATTTAAACTCACGATTCACGAAAAATAAAAACGGCTCTAGTAATCACGCATCACGAAAATACCCCTGTACGATCCTCTTAAAGTATTATTTACTTAAACGAAAGACATGGTTAGTGACGCAAAAACAATGCACGCTTTTGACCGCAATCCATTCTCTCTAACCTAGTGGGGTATGTTTGCTTCTATTTGACAAGAAAGCCACACTTTTTCGATGATGTCACCCCTAAAAAGTATCTTATCTGTTTTTTGGCAGTAATTTTTTCGCATGGTTCAGTGCCTTTTTCACATAGCCGTTCAGTTTTTTCCAGGGTCATGGTATAGTCCGCTCCTATACATTGGCAAGCCAGTACGCTAAGGAAGCAGTTAAACATCATCGCCCCACAGGGATACACTGGTCAAAATCACACAGGAAGTTTTAATACCAAGAAAGTAGCTTTCTGCAACGTCTACCACTGCCGCACGCCTCTCTATGTTAACAAACAACTTACGCACGAGCATTCTTTGATAACTATTTTACTTATGATTTTCCAACTCATACTTTCAAAGTCGATAAAGGGTTACTTACCCCGCACCACAGTCTCATAGTTTCTTTAGTCTAGTGTGGACATCCTTCTGGAATAAATCTCTCAGAACTCCCCGATAAACATGATTTTTCATGTAGCACATTATAGGGCCCGCCTGTCATTTTCTGTAAAAAATATTGTCATTTATTAAAAAGTATCTTAAAATTTTAATAAACAATATTTGAAAATGAAACTTTGCTAGTATTGCTCCTCCGATTTAACACATAAAATCTCAACTAAATTTAGAGTTACAAGAGATACAGAAGGGGTCAGGGCTACGCACTAAATAAAATATAGCGGGGTTGTGTATCAATCAATCAATCAATCAATCAATCAATCATTTATTTTAACACGTTTCGTCAAAGGGCTAAAAAACTCGTTCAAAATACGAACGTGTATAAATAAAATCTATAATAACTACAGCTATATAA